CTCCTTTTCACACCCTTAAACCAAGCTTACGTGGCCCAATGAAAGGGGAAGTGTTGACTGGCTGGAGAATGCAAGAGGCGATTCCCCTAGCACTGTGCTTATCATTGACAAAACGTCACACATAACTTACATGTAAAAATAGCCTATAAAAACACCCTGCAGCAGCTGTGCGGCTTCACAAACTCCTTTTTTTCCAATCGCTTCTCTTCCTCTGATATGCTTTGAAAAAGTTCGAAAATTAGCTTTTGCTCCTCTTGAATTTCCTTTCCAATTCAAGGCCAAGAGAGAGTTTTTTTTTGGTAGAAGTCAAGAGATAGTTTACAAGCAAAGGAAAATGCCTCCTGCGGTTTCCAATGTCCAAAGGTATTTTTTTTTCAATTTTTTAAACAAAGCTATTCTACGTTAATTATGGAAAATTTAGCGAAAACTCGTGTTCCGAATACTCTTTATAATTCAAAATTAATATAATTGTATTTAATTAGATTAAATTTAAATAATTTTTAAAAAATAAAAATTTTAAATTAAAAAAATTCAATAATAAATAGATGATTTATTAAATTATGAAAAAAATTAACTTTCTAATCTCTTTTTGTTTTTTTTAGGAAACTTTCAAATCTTTTTTATCTTTTCTTCAATTGCAAGTTGGACCCAACCATTACTCGGGTTTTTAAACATCCTCGTCTCTGTGTTCGGTTCCTTCCTGCAACTAAGATTTCAATCAGCGGAGGCCTCCCCTTTCGACACGCACAGGCTTCACATCTTGGCATTTTTCATTGTCATCGTCATCTGTGCCGTATCACTGGGAGTCGAAATCAAACTCGAAGCTGCCGGTGCAGATTGCTCGGCTGTTGTGAGCACAATCTTCCTCCTCGCCGGATCTCTAGCTCTAATCCTGCTGCTTTTGATCATCGAGCCTTACGTTGGATGGCCGTTGCTTATCGTATGGTTCTTGTACTTTGTAAAGCTGGCTTGCGAATCCTACAATGAGATCCGTCATTCAATTGCGTCTGCGGTTGAGCCCGCGACTAATTTTCTGAAAACCCTATTCAATTGCAATCGCAATCAGAGCGGAGAAGCAAACCAGTCTACTACTATTTAAGCCAAGAGTTTCTCAGTCCATTTTGTATTTCATTACACTTGCTCATAGGTTTCCCTTTTTTGTGTGATTAAGTGTGACCGGTATTGGTGAATCTGACCCATTGCCAAGGGGGTGTTTGAACTTTGAACTCATTTTCCTCCTTTATTTCTTAAAAATTGTACTAGTTAAAAGAAAAGTGTAACAGTATTGGCTGTAGCAGCCGCAAGCTTTTATATATATATATATATAAAGATTGAGACGTGATTTTATTTTTTTTAATATAATTTTATAATTAAATAATTAATTTTTTTATTAATTTAAAATTTATTATATTAAATATATTTATTTATTAAATAATATATTAAAATTATATAAAAAAT